TGTGGAATATTTGAGATCTTAATCTTTAAAAATACCCAAGAGTTTATGGGATATTTGAGATTGCTATCAACAATTTATTATGAGTACAAAGTCTCAACGAACTTATTTCTTCTTCTTTTCATCTTTATCTCATTTAGTTATTTTAATTATTTTTTCTCGTCTCTAAATCTATTTATAAATATATGTTATTTACAATAATTAATACTTATTTTAAAACAGGAATGACAGTGAGAGGACTCACATTTACCTCTAAAAGTAATTACTAATCACTTAATCAGTAAGTATAATACTTTATTATTTATTGCACATCGTTTAAACAGGAAAGGAAAACAAAACTACAAAAGGTATATTACGCTTTTATTTGGATTTTTTTTTCTTTTTTTTTATGCTTTATTTAGACTTGTTTTTGTTTTACATTTCTAATCCAAATCAAGTACTTAACGTCAAAGTTGGCTAAAAATATATTTTCTTAACGTCAAATCAAGTTTGACAATGCCTTTCCTGGCGTTCTATGAAAATATAATAAAATATTGACGAAATTTATTAGTAGTACTATTTTTATTGGGAAACAGCAAGGTGCCATACCTCTTAGTTTTTGTCAGAATCTAGATCAATTAAAATTCATATTGATCTGTTTTTCATATTTCTTTATAAAGATTCGAGAGAATTTATTTTCTATTTTTTTTAAAAATCACTTTATGTGGTATTACATATACAAGATTTTTATTTTTATACCTAAGAGAAATAAAAAGGTCAATGTGGTATTTTTATTAAAAATTGATCGACTTAGGTGAGTAGATTTTCTGATTCAAGTTTATAGAATTTTATTTTAAAAGAAACCAACTTTAGGAGATTAAAAATTGTTTTGAAAGAAATCTATCTCAGTCGATTCATTTGGGGAAAAAATGCGGGAAATAAGTTATCCGACCTCAGGAAGTCGGAAAATATTTTGGAAAAAAATCAATTATAATTACCGACCTCGTGAGGTTGATAATTATGTTGATTACTTAATTTAACAATACTAACCTCTGAGGTCGTATTCTTAAAAATATTCTTGTTTTGTTTCCAATATATTAGGGATGCATTTTATGTTAGGTTAAACTATTTGAATTGAAATGTATGCCTATGATTTTAGTTTAACTAAAAATAATTGAAACATAATTATTGACATTAAAATAAATGTTATATCTATTTTAATGATACAAATGAGTACTGTTGTATCTCAAATATATCCATTGAGCTTTAACTGCAACTATTTATATTCCTAGTAATTATTTGTATTAGATTTTTTTTGAGTTATAAGGACTTTCTCAAAAAAAAAAAAGTGTGTGAGAGGAGTTTTTCCACTGAATTTTTTAAAATATTATTTTACTTTATTTCACACTTACTACTGGCATAATTACTAAAGAACTTGTTTCTTGTGTGTACACACATACAGAAAGTAGTTGGAATTTTCTCCAAAATGTTGTGGTATACACCACCATAGCAAATTTGGAATGAATGGTAACCGTATCTAATAACTTTAATTCAAACTTTATATTTATATTAAAATTATGTTCAATAAATAAGTTTCGAAATCAGTTACTAACGTATGAAGTCATTACTGTAGAATTTAGAACCATAAAATTTAAATTCTAAACACTATTTTTAATTTTTTTTATTAGTCAGTTCTGAAAATAGATTAGTTACCTAGAAATAACCATCTCTCAAAGTCTTTATTTTATTAATGAAATAAATAACTAGTGTAGTGCAAAGTACACAATACCTTAGCAACTAAAAGCAGTGATTTAAAGACTGTAATGCAGATTGAGAGAATCTAAAATGTGCCTTCCCAGAAGTCATTATGATTTCTTTTAAATAAAGAAATTGTGATTTGCATAAAAATGTTGATTTATAATTATAAAGTTGTAAAGTTAGTGGGAGTAGATGGTCTCCTCCCATTCCAATACGATCTAGTAAATTATTCAAAAGAAATACCAGGACATTTCTCCATTTTTAATTCTTAATTTTGAAATACCAGCTGATTATGCACCAATTAAATGCTTATCCAATGAATTATCATTTCAAGGTTTCAATATGTCTTACTTTTTTTTAAAAATGTTTAAAATAATGTTCGTTTTCTATAATTAGCAACTTTTCAATTTCAACATCTTATATGTCTTGTTTAAAGTCATAAAATTTGAAAGATATTTTGATATATTATACTTGGAAGTTCATTCATAATATTCGTCAATTTTAAATATATAAAATAAAACAGAGGAACCTATTATTCCTCTAATAAAATTAAAATTAAAATTAAAATTAATCTTTCAAACAATAGCCTATGTACGACAATAATAAGTTTATATTTATTTAATATAGTGTTCATGTTTTCAAGATTTACTTGTGACGAAAAAAATTAGAACTTGGAAGTTCATTCATAATATCCGTACTAATATATGATGTGTTCATGTGTTTGATAATTTTTTTAAAAATGAATAAAATTCCTTTTTTTTAAGTGAAGGTAGAGAAAACCAATTTCACAAATAATATTTCCTCTTCATTTATACAGTAGTTTGCAAGACCAACTTTTTCTTCATTCATTATGAGAAAACAAAAAGACAGTTTTAAAAATACTTCATCTTTATTCTCATATTATATTGATTGTGTCATTTCCGCTATTCAACACACGTCATTTTTATTCTCACTTTCCGTGAACCCCATGCCCACCACCTGCTACCCCTACCATGAGATAATATTTCTAGCTCACAAACCAAGCACAAAAAAAAAAAAAAATAAGGCAGAAATGTACTTATTTTTCTAGACAACATTTTATTTGTAACGAATACACCCATATAGTCAGATTTATTTGTGTTGCTTTTCGTCTCATTCATACGGAAAAAAATGTCCACTGAACCTTTTTCTAAAGCATTGATTAAGATTGATAGTATAATTAGATCAAAATTTCAAATTTCTCTTTAATAAAAAAAAAAAGAATTGCTTCATTTGTTCGATTGTTTAAAGTTTTGCCTTCACTTTAATTAGAGTAACTTTTGGTTAAAAAAAATATGATTATTTGACCATCAGATTAGCAAACATACTTGGAACTTTCCTCTCAGAGCTTCTTATTCCTTTTATCTTCAATTTTGTTTCTTCCCAAAATGCTGGGGAATGATCTTGTGACACATTTCAATTTGTACAAGAAAATTTATCTTTAGCTTTCATGTTCTGCCAGGTGTACTACACACATATATATACCTTAAAAGTATGAACTCCTAACTTGAATGTTAAATTATTATAATATTCCTAACTTAGGTTGTGACTTTATTGATGAGTTGTGACTTTTCCGATAAGTTGTGACTCTTTTCAAAAGGTTGTGATTTTTCAATGTGTTGTGACTTTTCCAAAGAGTTGTGACTTTTTCAATAAGTTGTGACTTTTTCAAAGCGTTGTGATTTCTCGGAAAGGTCATGACTTTTCAGATAAGATACAAAAAAAATATTTGTTCATACTACCCTTTGTTGACTATAAATAGAAGGACTTCCTCTCATTTTTCAACCACAATTTTTTTTAATCTTTTACTCTTCTTCTTCTTGCATTGTAATTTTTTTTGTGTGATTTATTGTCGTTGAGTGAGTTCGAATATGAGGTACCACTATTCTGATGAAGTAAGTCGTTCTATCCTAAGAGGGTATATTCCATAACCTCGAGTACTTGAGGAAAATAATTTTGATGATAAAATAATTATTTTTTGCTTAATATATTCATTAGTATGTAATGTTCCAATATATGAAGTTAACATGAATTAGTCTAAATTCATTTGTTTTTGTTAACAATTTCTCTTGTGATGTAGATATATGCTTCTGAATATCTTTTTCCAAAATTTAGAGAATTGTCACGATTTGTTTTTTATGTTCAAGAAAAAAGAATGACTTTATTTATAAATGTTACTTATGTGATTTAGACTCTGAGGATGTTTGCTTCAAAATAGTTATTACTATATAAACATTGCCATTTTATTTTACTTATTTACTATTTCTATTAGTTTAGTTTTTATTATTTATTTAATCGCAAATTTTATGAGATAAATATTTTCATTAATGCAAATATATATTTATATTTGGATATGTATTTGTGTTTAAATTAAAGTATTATATATGTCACAAATGTATTATCAAGTTAACAAGATCCTCTAACTTTAAAATATATTATTTTAAAAAAATTCGAGTTTTTTAAAAAAAATAAAAAACTCACAACAAATGTGAAAATATGTGAATATATAAAATGTAGTTGTTCTCTTCACATATTCATATGGCATCTGAACAATTTAACGTAAAATACACGTGCAAAGCACATCTGGTTAGATGACAAGAAAAATACAAAACAAATATTGTCTATAAGGTAATATTAGTGAGATAAGACTAATTACATTATTGAACCTCATCAAATTGAAATAAAAATATACATAATTACATTTAACTAATAAAAATTTTCATTGACCATCTTCATAGGTTTGCGTGAATAAGAGATATATATGACGATCCACGCGTGAATAAGAGATATATATGAGGATCCACATTGAACATTACAAAAGAATCTGCAACATTATTTTTTGCTAAGCTTATTATTCAAATCTTCGCTTAAATAAGCAATACTATTTACTATAACATATATTTTTCGAATTGATAATCAGGTGCAACGCACGTGTCAAAAAACTAGTATATTATATATATATATATATATATATTACTTTATTTCGTTTAAAAAAATATTTCTCCCTTTATTTCAATTTATTTGTCTAATTTTAATTTGACACGAAGTTTAAGATGGTAAAAAAGTCTTTAAATTTTGTGGTCTAAAACTAAAGATTTGTAGAATATAATCAAAATTCCCTTTAATCATCATCAAAGGTTGCGGTGGAGAGTGGGAAGTAGGGATTTAATTAATCAGGCCCAATACAAGTATCGAATACCGGAAGGAAAACTAAAAAAAATTAAGAAAGATCTTTTAATTTCGTAGTTTTAAACATATCATGAGAAAAGTCAGAATTAATATAATATACACATACAACTCATACTAGAGTCCTTATCATCATGATATATTAACTCGTAGCTATGAAAGCGAATTCATACACTGTAGCACATGAAGATTAGACCATAATTATCTATTAGTATAATCTTGATTTCATAAAATAATACGATTGGCATCATTAAGTAGATAAAGCCAAAATGAAGTATTGTCAACAAATTGATCGAAGTAATCAATATTACTATGTGACGATGATTGATGATGATGAGTAGTCGTTGCAGCTGGATTACTCTCCAAGATAAGTACCGTCTTTTCCATGTCAATCATCGGATTTGGTTCATCAATCTTTTCATTTTGATCGAATGTAATAATACTACTGCTCGATAGTGAAGAAGAACCACCCATTGGTGATATCATCAAATTAGTAGTGTTCATGTTACTCCATGTTTCAGAAATATCGACAAATAATTGAGGTTTTTCTTGAGCTTTGCTGGACTTTTTCTTCGGTTTTCTTGCCCTCCTAGACTTCACCGGGGCATCAATATTATTATTATTATTATTTTTTATCTGTCCAAGATGCTTCTTTAGATGTGTGTGAAAGAAGTTTTTAACTTCGTTATCTGTTCTTCCTGGCAATTTTCCAGCAATAGTAGCCCATCTGAATTTACATATTCTATTAGATACGTTATAGGTACGTACGATTACACCTAATTTATTAAATAAACTTAAGATCAAGTGATGTGTTTTAAGTAATTCTCACCTATTTCCAAGTTGCTGATACATTTTGATGACTGTTTCTCTTTCTTCCATGGTAAAAGGTCCTCTCTTAACATCAGGGCGGAGATAATTCATCCATCGAAGTCTACAACTCTTCCCAGTTCTTGAAAGACCTGAACCATGATCGATTAGATATACAGATTACAGAATATTTCCACTTATGTAACCAAAGCCTTCTTTCCTAGAAAGGGCGTAGGTAGTACAATCTCTCTAACTACTTTCATTGGTTTTTCTTTTGATGATATTTTTTGCTAATTTTTTTTTATAATACTATAATAATTATTTTAGGGGAGGAGTTGACCTGAGCATTTTAAGACTTAGGGGTAGTTTGGTGTGAGATTTAATTAAGGTATAACTATCTTAGGAATAAAATGTAGGACTATTTTATCTTGTGTTTAGTTGGAGCTATTAGGCACTCGTGAGATTATTTATATATTAGTGATGTGATAAATTATCACATATACATAATGAAATAATTTATCTCGAGATTCCCAACCAAACGTTCCCTATAAGAGAACATGAGAATAAATTTGGAAGTATTTTTCTAGAAACCAGTACGTCCAACTTTTGAGAATATTGTATGTAATTAGTCACTAAAATAGAAACAAATAATATATTTAAATTCATAAGTTTAAAACTATAGTGAATTCAACACTCAAAGATTAGACCTATAAAATTAAGTTTAAATCAAGAATTCATCTCTATCTATCGCACATGATGATTTCGATTAGCCGTTGGTTTTACCATTCAATGCCGAGTATATATTTTCTGTATCGACGTGATTAAATAACAAGATCATGTTTTAATGAGTTTGAAAAATCACAGATAAAAGTATAAAATCAATTTGATAGAGGAAGTGCTTACACAACTGATTTTTATATATTGAAAAATTGAAAGATTTATATCTTAATTTTTTATTTTGATCATAAATTCAAAAATGAAATTTTTTACATTTTTTTCCAAATTAATATTAATATAATTGAAAACTATATAAAAAATACTATAACTACATACTCATAATAAATGATATCTAAAATATTAAGATCACAACCAGAATATACTCATTTAATTATTAAAATTTGAAAGATATCACGTAAATTATAACATAGAGATAAGATGAAACCAGAAAAAGTTATGTAAATATAATAGGGCATGCATGCAACTTGGAAGTGGTCAAAATTAATGCATGCTTATGGAACAAGAACTAGATTATGGTAATTTAATTTGTTGATGGTGGCCGGTCAGAATACTATTTTTTGCATGGACGCCAGTACCTTATTATGATGCACATGCACGTTTTATAAAAAAAATCTTATATCTAAAAAATACTAATCCACTTGCTTATATTTTATAAGCTTTTTTTAATTGAATATACATAACTTCTTTTGATCTAATCCTTGCCATAGGATAGAGCAAATTAAAATAGGAAATGAAGGTACACTATTAAAAATATTCCACTGTGAATTAGTGGAAACATTGTGTTATAGATCATGATTTTCCTACTTATTTTTAATCAATCAATTCATTGAAAAAATGCATGGTAAAAATTAGATTTTCACTAAAATAGTGAGAATTTTTTTTTTTCTTTTTTTATTTATTCAATCAAAATATTTATGAGAATAAGTGGGAAAACAGTGATGTTTTAATGTTCCACAGCTCTACGGGGAAATAAAGAAAACATTATATTACAAGCAAAATAGAAACAAAGTATATATTCCTAATTTCTCTCATATATGAGTGGATATATTCTCATATTATATAGTATGACATAATTATCAAATTTGCTCAATATACATTATATGAGTGGATATATTCTCATATTATATTGTATGACACAATTATTTAATTAATCAAATTTGTTCAATATATATACATTAGATGTATGGTCAGGTTTTACTTTTTTAACGTACATTAGCTTAGCTTGGATATTTAATTATTTATTTATCTGTATTATTTACAACTTACTATGTTTTTTATACCTGTTTCTCCCATCCTCTTTATATAGCATATTGAATTAGTTAAATCAAATTTAGGGTACAGCACACTGTCCCACGTTTGTCCCTTCAACTAGGCATTTCATATTTCCATTGACCGATCGTTTACTTAGACAAGACATAAAATTTGGAATGCTTTCTAATTCAAGGTTCCACGAACTTTTGAATGATTATAGCTTTACGCTCATTTTTTATGGATACAATTTTCTTTCAATTTTTAAATTGAATATAAAAAGACAATTTTTCAACACTCTTATAGGCAAGAAAAAGAAAATTTCTTATAAAAAAAAAATATATAATTAAATTAAATTTAAATTTATAAAAAAAAAACTACAAAAGCAAATCTTTGATAAATTCTCTTCTAGCAACAAGAAAATGGGATATATGTTTTTTTAAAATAAAGTATTATTTATACTCCATCATTAATTAGAAAGAGTCAAACGCGGAGGGAATATAATGATGCAAAAACGGTTAGCCGCCTCAAATTAAAAGAAAATTAAAGAAAAAGTCTTGTAAAATAGAAAACACAAAATTAAAGAATGATTTAATGAGGAAAAAAGTTGGACGGTGAGAGTCATGACCACAAGTAGCTTATGTATGTTTTCTCATGTAAGCCCTCAAAACGTATATCCACATAAATATTTAAGGTTGCAACTTACACCTAGAATTTAGTTTTAAGTTATAATTAATCTCAACTTAATCGTCTAATTCCTACATTACTAATATTATATATCTAATTTATGTATAATTAATAATCAACATAGTTCTAACCAACAACTAAGCGACTCTTAGGGTGCGATTTGCACCCTTAATGTGTGTGTTCTTTTGTGACTTACACTTTATCCTATTAATTTTAATGATTTACACCCCTAATTTCCTTAGTTTTCTACAAAATTATAAAAAATCTCATATTTTCAATTATTTACAAGAATAAAATAGAATAAATAATAAATTGTTATAAAACATAAAAAAATATGAAAAAGTTAAAGATAAATATGTAAATTGTATTTAAACAAAAAAATTATGTATAAAACAAATTTTAAAAATTATATATATAATATTGGATTAGTTTGGTCACGTATTGACTTTTTCTAGTTAAAATCAAATCAATTCAAAGTATAATCGTATTTTTTTCAAAACTAAATCATTAGTCGATTTTTTTTTCTTTTTATTTGACTCAATTTGTACTTTGCGGTTTGATTTTGTTCGCCCTTAAAAATGTACTAGAAATGAATGATTGCTTCTTCATTTTATTGAAAAGGAAGCAGCAAATTACTTGTATTTAGTATTGCTTGTATTTTTAATTTAAATCACTTTTATATTTTTTTTTATATGTAATTTTCTATTTTATTCCTTGTAAATGATTGAAATGGGAGATTTTTTTTATGATTTCGCAAAGAACTTAGGAGATTAGGGTGCAAATCATTAAAAATAATAGGATAAGGTGTAAGTCACAAAGATATGCATACGTTAGGGGTACAAATTGCAATTACTCTATTTCTTATGTTGTGGTACATTATAAGTATTAATTTGGAAATATAATTACCCTCTCTCTCTCCCGAAAATAAGAAGAAATTCATTCAAATGTATTATGTATTAATTGTATTCAATCAAACATATGTGAGAGTTTTGTATGTTGTATCAATTGTATTCGAAAAACTGTATTTATATTTTTGTTCAATTGTATTTGAATTTATACGAATATAATATGCATTCATCCTATCTGTCAACAATACTATGTATCAATTGTATTCAATCAAAGAGAATATGAATACAGTTGTATTTGTTGTATTTTGAATACAATTGATATAGAATACAAAACAGTTGTGCATTAAATAAATATAAAATACAATGCAAAATAAATACAAAATACAATCCTCTCTCCTCGTTCTCTCGATCTCGCTCACTTCTCTCCTCCTATTATGTATTCATTTTAATACAAATCAGTTTGTATTTGTATTTTTTTTTTTCAAAATGCGCAAAAAAAGTACAAAAATACAAATAGCAAACCAAAATATTGATGTCCAATATTTGTTGTTTTTGAAAGTTTCCTTTTTTATCCCCCTAGAGTACATTTTATTTGTACCAAACACACCCATATAATTAGATTTATTTGTGTTGTTCGTCGTCTCATTCATACGGAAAAAATGTCTACTGAAGCTTTTGACTAAGATTTATATAATTACATCAAAATTTCAAACTTCTCTTTAACTAAAGATTGCTTCATTTTTTCTATTCTTTAAAGTTTTTCTTTTACTTTCATTAGAGTATACGTATACTTTTGGTTAAAATATTACTAGCAAACATACTTGGAAGTGATAATTAATTACTTAAAAGATAATCGTATCGATATCATCAATGTCATAACAATGCCTTGTAAGTTGTAAAAAGGGACATTATGAAACTTTCAAGATAAAAAAAGAAAAATATGAAACTTAACATCATATGTATATACGTATAAGCACCATGCCCAAAAAACTTAAGTACCTTTTACATATTAGATATTCCCTCTATTTCAATTTGTTTATCTGATTTTGACTTGATACGGAGTTTAAAATAGTAAAAAAGACTTTTAAATTTTTGATCTAAAACTAAAGATATGTAGAATGTAACCAAAATGTCCTTTAATTACCAACAAGGCTTGTGATGGAAGTGGAAAGTACGAATTTAATCGGGCTTCAGTACAAGTACTGGACCTAGTGGAAAACCCAAAAAAGATAAGTCATTTAATCTTGTAGTTTTAAATATATCATCTGAAAAGTTAAAATTTAAAAAATGTCAAAAAAAAGGAAAAAAAACATTTTTAAAATTTAAAAAGAAAGTAAGACAAATAAATTGAAACAAAGAGAACACTATTACTTGTATTTACTAATAAATTTTTTAATTACAAACATATCATGTTTAAGATCATAACGGTACATTACACCCTTCTAGAGTTTAAAAGTATAGAAAATTTAATGAAAAATCTTACTTTCAAAAACTCTTTGTACAATTAATTATAAATTCAGACACATGAAATGAAAAGGAAGAAATATTAAAGTGATGATCGATCTATACCATCCAACTAGTGATTAGTGAATCCATCAACACATTTCATTAAAAAACACGTAGCATATATAGCTCATAATTTGTCGTGTGGTATCAATAGATGGATCATATAATATACACATACAATTCATACTAGAGTCCTTGTCATCATGATATATTAACTCCTAGCTATGAAAACCATTTCATACAAAACATAGTAGCAAAATGTTATAAAAATTTACATATACATACATTAAAATCCGATTAAAGAAGGGGACAAAAAGCATGCATCTGAAATTAACCTTATCATAAATCAAACTTAAATAACATTACTGTAGCATTATCTTCCGAAGAAGCAACTCGAATCCCATATAATTAATTTCATAATGAGGTAAAATAATTTCATCTCATTAATTAAATTATCCATCTCTACTTTGGATTGGGGGTTAGGAATATATATCCGTGATAGACATTTCATAATATTCTTCTTCATAAAATAATACGATTGGCATCGTCAAGTAGATGAAGCCAAAATGAAGTAGTGTCAACAAATTGATCGAAGGAATCAATATTACTATGTGACGATGATTGATGATGATGAGTCGATGCAGCTGGATTGCTCTCCAAGATAACCATCTTTTCCATGTCAATCATCGGATTTGGTTCATCAATCTTTTCATTTTGATCAAATGTAATAATGCTACTGCTCGATAGTGAAGAAGAACCACCCATTGGTGATATCATCAAATTAGTAGTGTTCATGTTACTCCATGTTTTAGAAATATCGACAAATAATTGAGGTTTTTCTTGAGGTTTGCTGGACTTTTTCTTCGATTTTCTTGCCCTCCTAGACTTCACCGGGGCATCAATATTATTATTTATTTGTCCAAGATGCTTCTTTAGATGTGTGTGAAAGAAGTTTCTAACTTCGTTATCTGTTCTTCCTGGCAATTTTCCAGCAATAGTAGCCCATCTGGATTTACATATTCTGTTAGACGTTATACGTACGATCGAGTACGCCTAATTTATTAAATAAACTTAAGATCGTAGTTCTCACCTATTTCCATGTTGCTGATGCATTTTGATGACTGTTTCTCTTTCTTCCATGGTAAAAGGTCCTCTCTTAACATCAGGGCGGAGATAATCATCCATCGAAGTCTACTACTCTTCCCAGTTCTTGAAAGACCTGAACCATGATCGATCAGATAAATACACAAATTAACTTAACATTAAAAAAAAATTAAAAATTGTATTAGTAATGAGCTAGACCTGCAAATTTGGGCATGAGATTCCAATTCCAAATGCCAAATCTCATAACATAATCTTTCAATTTTTGGTCTTCTTCAGGAGACCATGCCCCCTTCTTAATTATAATCTCTTCCATCTTAGTTACTACTTTCAACACAATTCAATGTGGTTTCAACATTCTATTGGGAAAATAATTGAGGCTTATATATACACAAATTTTTCCACTTGTTGTAACAAAAGTCTTATTTCCTAGAAAGAGGGTACTACTTTCATTGGTTTGTCTTTGGATAAGAGTCTGAAAAATACTCCAACTTTGGCCGAAATTGCTGTTACGATACCAAACTTCAAAAGGACCTTTTACCCCTGTACTATTTAATAGTACCTTTTACCCCCATGTACTATTTAATAGTGTATTTTAAAGGTATATATGTGTCTACGTGGACATCATAAATATTGCATCATTTTAACTAATAATGTGTCCACATGGGCACATATATACCTTTAAAATACACTAATAAATAGTGCAGGGGATAAAAGGTCCTCCATAAAATTTGGTATCGTAACAATAATTTCCGCCAAAGTTGGAGTACTTTTCAGACCCTCATCCCTTTGTCTTTTGATAATACTATAATAATTCTTTGAGAGAGGAGTTGACCTGAGTGCTTTAAGACTTTTAAGAGAGGGAGTCCAGACCCTTATCCCTTTGTCTTTTGATAATACTATAATAATTCTTTGAGAGAGGAGTTGACCTGAGTGCTTTAAGACTTTTAAGAGAGGGAGTACTGGGAGTAGAACATGAGGATAAATTATCTCAGCATTTATCTGAATTCAGTACTTTCAACTTTCGAGAATATTTGTATGTATATCAATCAACAATTCATAAGTTTAAAACTTTAGTGATTTCAATACTTGAAGGCTAAACCTATAAATTAAAGTTTAAATCATGAATTCATCTATGATAATTACGGCTTTACATGATGGTTTCGATTAGCCATTGTTTACCATTCAATAGTGAGTATATTTTTTTTTTGTATCCGACATGATTAAATAACAAGATCAAGTTATATTGAGTTTGAAAAATCATAGATAAAAGTAAATGCAATTTGATAGAGAGGAAGTGCTTACACAAAGTTCTATATATTGAATAAATTGCAAGCTTTACATATCATTTTTTAAAATTATTTTGATCCAGAATTTGGGGATGAAATTTTTATGTTTTTTGAAATTATATTTATATATTTAAAATTTACATAAAAGTTGGATAAAATTTATAGAAAAAATGTTTGAAAATGTCGCAATTAAAAAACTCATTAATTAACTTTCAAAATTCGAAAGATGCCACTTAAATTGTGATCGAGAAATAAATAAGATGAAACCTGAAAAGTTTTGTAGTTATAATATAGGACATGGAAGTGGTCAAAATTAATGCATGCTTGTAGAACAACAACTAGATTATGGTAATTTAATTTGTTGATGGTGGCCAGTTAGAATACTATTTTTTTGCATGGACGCTAGCTATTATAAATCATTATAATGCACACGTTTTACTGTAAACTCTAAAAAAATTCTTATATATAATAAAACTAATGCACTTGCTTCTATTTTAATAATTATAAACTTTTTTTTTTAATTGAATATACATAACTTCTTTTGTTCTATTTCACATGATCATTACTTGCCATAGGATAGAGCAAATTAAAATAGGAAATGAAGTAGTATATGAGAAGAAGAATATACATAACTCTTTTGTACATTGACGGTGTACAAAATTTAAACTCTTTCTTATATAGGAGTGGATACAGTGTTTTCAAAAATATCTTTTTTGGGCGAGTCCCGAGCGAGTTTTGGGGCGGGGCGTATCAAAAATACTTCGGGCACAAATTGAAGACGTAGATACAATGGGCATAAGTCTTAGTATTTTAGGGCGTAAGCTCCAAGCGTAAAAATGTTATTTTCCCTGGGCGTAAAAACGTACACCTTGGGTTTTTTTTTTTGGTTTTTTTTTTTTGAACCTTTTTTGCTTTCATATTTTTTTTAATAATTGTGTAATGATATTTCTCAAATAGTAATTGTAATATTTTTTTCTACATTATTGGTCATTAATACCTTTCTCAAATAAAATTCATAATATTTTTTTCTATATATTATAGGTTATTTATTAAAAGTTATTTGTAAAATAATTGGAAGTTTTATTTTTACTTATTTTCCTAGTAAAGAATTATAAAATTGAATATATATATACCTGAGACTACGCCTTGTAGATCCATAAGACATACGCTCGTATCTCGGGGGCTTACGTCTCGTCTCATCCCATACTGTATAAAACGTCACGCCTCATGCCCCGCATTTTAAAACACTTAGTTGATATATATTCTCGTATCAATTCTATTGTATGACATAATTATTTAATTTGTCAAATTTGTTCAATATACAGTAGATATATGGTCAGGTACACTAGCTAGCTAGCTTGTTTATTTATTTATTTGTATTATGTACAACCTACTATATTTTTTATACCTCTTTTTCCCATCCCCTATAAATACTAAAGTATATAGTATATTGAATTAGTTAAATCAAAATTTAAGGGTACAACAGTGTCCCTTCAACTAGGCAATTTAAAAAAATTCCATTAACTGATTGTTTAGTCTGGTCTTTCATGGTCACTTAAAAAATCAATTACTTTTTTAAAAAAAATCTATTAAATATAAGAACAAAAATCTCTTAGATGTAAAAATATAATACATAATTAAACTAAACTAGATATATAAACAGATTACAAAATCAAAATATATCTTTTAAAACAATATTATACTCCATCACTAGTTAGAAAGAGTCAAACGCGGAAGGAATATAATGATGCAAATTAAAATGCTTAGCCGCCTCAAATTAAAAGAAAATTAAAGAAAAAGTCTTGTAAAAAAGAAAACACAAAATTAAAGAATGATTTAATAAGGAAAAAAGTTGGACGGTGAGAGTGATGACAACAAGAGGCTTATGTATGTTTTATTATGATGTAAGCCCTCAAAATGTATATATCCATATCAATATTTAAGATAGCAACTTGCACGCCAAATCAAGTAAGGGTGTGTTTGGTATCCAATATTCTCGTGTTTGATTGATCTAAATGTTTTGGAAATTGTTTTTCAAATAAATTTATTTTTTTCTCAAATTTAAGGAAAATGATTTTTCTAAAACATTTTTCAATACACTCCTCCAACCTCAAATTACAATTTTCTTCTTACCTCACTCTATCCAATCCCAAGCCTCCCCCTCTAAAAAAGTTGATTTTTTTAAAAAAAAAACCTACTCCAAAATCAGGAAAAATTAAGATTTTGAAATTTTGTTTTTGCAAATTACTTAAATTTTAAATAGTTCAGTGTTTTTTTACCCCACCCTACCCCTGACACACCCCTTCTTACAAAAACAGATTTTTTTCCTCGACCCCTAAAGCGGCCCCCCCACCTCCCCCCACAAACCAACCAAAATCTATTTAAAACTTTGTTTTTTAAAAAGAAATTAAATTTTTTAAAATTTTACTTTTTTTACACGTCACGTCTGCCCTGACCCTACTACCATCCCCCTCACAAAGAAAAATATATATATTTTTTTAAGTTTGAAATTTCGATTTGAAAGCTAGGTCCCGAATCGGGTATGGTCGGATTCCAATTTGAAAGTCGGGCTCGAGTCCCCATTAAAAAAAATCAATCCCATTTCGGAAGCCAAGTCTCGATTCTAGTGTTGAGGTCAGATTTTGGATTAATCGATCGTGTCCGAATTTACATATCGGGATTAGGTCTTTTGCCAGGTCTCAAAGTTGAATTTTGAATTGGTCGTCTAGATCGCATCCCGATTTGAGTGTCGAGGTCGGAGTTAGGTCTTTGAATGTTGAGACTCGGGTAGGGAGTCGAAGTCATGTCCCAAGTTGGATGTTGATGTTGGGATCGAGTTGGATGTCGGGGTGGGGTCCTAGTTTGAATGTTAGGTCTCAAGTGAGAGTCAGGGTCAGGTCTCGAAGTTGGATTTTGGATCGATCGTCAAGGTCTAGTCCGGTTCGAGTGTCAAGGTTGAGATCGGGTCCTAGTTCGAATGCCGAGTCTCGAGTCGCAAGTCTGGGTTGTGTCCTGAATCAGTTATTAGGGTTGATTTTCATGTCAGAAACTATTTTCCTAAAAAATATTTTCTACTCTCTAACCAAAAATAATAAATATTTTCTACTCACTTTGTCCCTAATTACTTATCCAATTTTTCTTTTTTACTTGTCCCGTTTTACTTGTCCATTTTGACAAATCAAGAAGGGACAAATTTTTTACCTATTATACCCTCAATTAGTTACTTTGAAAAAGGTAGAACTTCTTGAAAATCTTAAATTTTTAATCATTCACTTCATAATTAATAGGGGTAAAATGGTAAACTCAGTATGTCAATCATTGTTTTTTTAATAGATGTACAAATTCAAAAGTGGACAAGTAATTAGGAATAATGGGAGTAGAAAGCATTTTTTAATCACAAACCAAACAATAGAAAATATTTTCTACTCACCAACCAAACATAAAAAAATAGGTTAGAAACCAGCTTATTTTCCAAGAAACCATTTTCCTTCATACCAAACACAATCTTTTTAATCCATTCCAAAAAGAATGTCATCTTATTATAATTAAAAAAATCAACTTTAAAATTTCATTTATGCTCTTAATGAAGTGATTTACAACTTCACAAATATCTCAGGATTGGTTTAGACAATAAATTTAAAAAATCTTCATTTTTTTCTTAAACACCATGTCAAGTTAACGGTGTCACATAGAATGGGATTGGGGGGGGGGGGGGGGAACAA